AATTCCTGTAAATACATGACTAAACGTGTCCTAGAGTCTGATGAAACAACTTAATTCCTGTAAATACATGACTAAACGTGTCCTACAGTCTGATGAAACAACTTAATTCCTGTAAATACATGACTAAACGTGTCCTACAGTCTTATGAAACAACTTAATTCCTATAAACACATGACTAAACGTGTCCTTGCAAGCCAGAAAAAACTTAATAAAAAGACAAAAGATATTGTAATGTTTGTACAATCTTAACTAACCCTTCATAATTAGTTAAAAATTAATTAGTTGTTATAAAATCAAGTATAATTTGATCTTAATTATATTAGTCACAACAACATATTTTGTATTAAAGTTTTGAAAACAAAAGAGTGACGTACAAAAACCTACCATCTATTATTTAAGATACATCCAACAATAACAAATAAGTAAACATTACAAATCTGATCATTTCAGTACATACCAAGGTAGGCATAAATATGGCTCAGAACCCGGGCAGGTTGGACCTCAATGGGTGATACTTCAAAAGCAGTCTGGACATGAATCTCGTGGCCACGGAGTTTTTCTTGAATGATGCTATCTTCTGCTAGAATAACAACTAAATAAAAATATTTCACATGCATGTTAGAATCATCATTAGTACAAGCCTTTCTTCTGAAAACAAATCTTTTAAAAAAATCAGTAAAGCTCTTTTACCGGTATTTCTGATTTTGTACAACACGAGAACAAAATTTTAAACATATTTACATTACTTGAAAAATTACTTGTACAAGGTCGGCAAAGTTTGATGAACAAAAATATTCAATTTGAAAAAAAAATTAAATTAAATTAAACAAACCTTGTACAACCACATCTGGTTTCTTCTCAGAAGATAGCCTTCTGTTTAGCGGGTCCAACTCACCCGGAGCCAAGAAACCCTGAAAATCATTTGTAAACTTTAATATTTCCTTGGTTGATTTCATTACTGGCTGGGTGTCTCCAAATCTTTCATTAAGTGGTTGTTAAGAGAATAAAAAATCCAAACTTCAATAACAGAAAAATCCAGAAATGAGCTGAAAATGACCATTAAACATAATTTCATTTCTTTATTCCATTGTTGTTTGATATAAAAAAAACTGAGCAAAAACAGCAGACTCATTATTAACAGGTTTACAGGTTTCTCGATATTGAATATCTCTGAACTACATTATGGCTACATGCATTTTGGAGTTTTAAAAAATGCTAAACTTTTGTGACTAACCACACACCAGTAGTATCAGTGGTATTTTTAAAAAAGTCAAACTTTCAAAGATTCTAATACTATATGTTTGCTAATTTTAAAAGCCACATATATAAGGACTAAGACATATTAAAAATACAATGAACAATCATATTAAACCTTAAACTAACCTCTTGAACAAGGCGACCAATGATGTATAAAGACTGGGCCCACATGAAGGGAATCTGTCCAATAGGAACTCTATCCTGGCTATGTGGTTGTCTGTATTCAAGTTCAACCTATTTCAAAGAAACCAATTGTTCTACATTGTAAAATAAACTACAGTATCTAGCCTAACAAGGGGTAGTTTATTGTTAGCTAGTTAAGTAAGATTTATTATTTAATAACCGTAAGTCTGTGACGTCTGTAATTTGTATTTGTATCTATTACAACCTTGTATGGTGATCATAGTCATGGTGGGAAGCTTTATTAGTGAACACTGACAGAGACCATTTGAACTTCTGGGTAGTTCTAATACTAATTTAATTTGAAAAATTGAAATGAATACCCATTAGATAGTTGATTGTAAGCTGCTTAAGTAAGATCTTGTAAGGCTAGATACAGTAGTTTATTGTAAGCTAGTTAAGTAAGATCTTGTTAGGCTAGATACAGTAGTTTATTGTTAGCTAGTTAAGTAAGATCTTGTAAGGCTAGATACGGTAGTTTATTGTTAGCTAGTTAAGTAAGACCTTGTAAGGCTAGATACGGTAGTTTATTGTTAGCTAGTTAAGTAAGACCTTGTTAGGCTAGATATGACAAAGAAGCAGGTCACCTTATCAGCTGAAACAGTATACAGTTCTGGCACATACTTCAACCCATCTTCAGTTTTCACAAGAATCTCATCTAAAGCTTCAGCGTATTCTTCCACCTATCATGAATACAAATCAAGATCAAGAGTTGAAAATTCAGCAAAACAAAGCTACACCATTGGCTGTCAAAACCCAATTTTTAGCAGTGTGAGCCTCAGAGTTTCTACAGAGCCACTGGTGGGAACAAAATGTGAACAAGATTAGAACTGACCTTTATTCAGTTTTTCAAACATATATCGGAAATACAAATAAAAAAAAGGTATAATTAAAGTGCCAACTTCAAACATACTAAACATGGCTGTTATTTGATAAACTATATATATATATTTACCTTGAGTTGTCTGATGTCTACAGGTACTAAACCTACCTGTTTATAAACTATATATATTTACCTTACATTGTCTGATGTCTACAGGTACTAAACCTACCTGTTTATAAACTATATATTTACCTTAAGTTGGCTGATGTCTACAGGTACTAAACCTACCTGTTTATAAACTATATATTTACCTCAAGTTGTCTGATGTCTACAGGTACTAAACCTACCTGTTTATAAACTATATATTTACCTTAAGTTGGCTGATGTCTACAGGTACTAAACCTACCTGTTTATAAACTATATATTTACCTCAAGTTGTCTGATGTCTACAGGT